GGCCGGGAAGGGCCCGGGGACACGGCTGGGCTTTTCGGGGGCGCGGGCAGGTGAGAAGACGCCTGGCGAGAATCTGGCTCTCGCGGGAGGGTCTGCCCGTGCGTAGGGTGGAGGCTGAGAGTCTGCGACGAGGAAGGCAGAACGGGGTAGCGCCCGGGTCCGCAGACCTCTGGTTAACTGTGGGTGTTTCCTCAGGGGGCTGCTCGAGGAGGGGCGGGCAGCCCCGGGCGGAATTCTGCCCCAAGAGCTGGAGTCCCAAGCTTGGATCCAAGACGACTCGGGCGAGGCAGAGCTGCGCGACTAAGGATGCAGGAGCTGTCCGCCCTCGGGTGCTGATCAGGGCCGGTGGGAGCTGTCCCCCAAAGGGTGCTGATCGCGTTGGCCGAGCTTGCTCCCCAAAACATGCGGACGGAGCTGGAGCAGCTGTTTCCCCGACGGGTGCGGGTCCGACCCGGAGGAGTGAGCTCCAAGGGTGCTGACCGGGGCTGGACAGGGACGTCTGCCTAGACTGACCGTCTGGCAATCAGAGGACGATGACTGGGGCTGAAACTGAACTTTCAGTATAGACCACGCAGCCTGGACAGAGGTCACGATGGGTTCGCAGCCCTGAGTCCGTGTTCATTCCACTGGAAAAAACTGTTTCTTGAGCACCAGCTGTGTTACTAGGGGCTCTGTCTAGGATACTGCTATGCTCTGGTTTGACGTGGAGCTCCGTGGAGAGAGCAATGGTTGAAATGGAGCTCAGGGAGTTGCCCGTGGGCGTTTGGCGGGGGAGATCAGGGCTGAGTAGGGCCGATAAGGACAAGTTAGAGGGGCAGAACTAGGGATACTAGTGGAGGAGATTTGGCTATAGAAGGAGGCTAGCATTTCAACAAGAGCGCAAAGAAATCATTCTTTGTTTCTCATGATGAAAATTAGATACTCTGATTTTTTCTTTATGTCTCTGTTCTGTGGAAAATCATTTCTGAGGAAAGGGTGAGGCACTTGAGTGATGAATGCCTGGAGATACAGGACAGGGAGAGCTCGTGCAAGTCAGGAAGGACAGTATCATTCTTTGGGTGGCCATCATTCCAGCTCACAGAGAACGCCTATGGCCAGGGGCTGGTTGATCTTGCCCTCTTTAGTGCCCCACTCACTATATATA